GATTATATACAGAGAGATTGTATACAGAGAGATTATATACAGAGAGATTATATACAGAGAGATTATATACAGAGAGATTGTATACAGAGAGATTATATGCAGAGAGATTATATACAGAGAGATTGTATACAGAGAGATTATATACAGAGAGATTGTATACAGAGAGATTATATACAGAGAGATTATATACAGAGAGATTGTATACAGAGAGATTATATACAGAGAGATTATATACAGAGAGATTGTATACAGAGAGATTATATACAGAGAGATTATATACAGAGAGATTGTATACAGAGAGATTATATACAGAGAGATTGTATACAGAGAGATTATATACAGAGAGATTGTATACAGAGAGATTATATACAGAGAGATTGTATACAGAGAGATTATATACAGAGAGATTATATACAGAGAGATTGTATACAGAGAGATTGTATACAGAGAGATTGTATACAGAGAGATTATATACAGAGAGATTATATACAGAGAGATTGTATACAGAGAGATTATATGCAGAGAGATTGTATACAGAGAGATTATATGCAGAGAGATTATATACAGAGAGATTGTATATGATCCTTACAGGAGAGATTTAAGTGCTAATTTTGTGTTGCATGTTTGCTGGTCAGTGCAGTCGTAGTTTGTACAGATAATGATACAAAAAAAGAAAGAATTAAAACAAAAGCCTCTCATTTCCACATAAATAAACACGCAGCACGTCGTAATCATGACCTCTGAACTCGTCCACACGAATTTCCCAGGACTTAAAGGCAGAAAGTTTTAAACTCGGGCTTTTGGTTGCAGGTTTCGAAGTGAAGTATTTCAGTGTGTGCGGAAACAAGTCCTAGTCGCATTGTTATATTATATTATTATATTATTATATTATCCGGAGTTATTTTAGAAGATAAAAGCAGTGTAATTGTTGTATTCACGTACACGTGCAGTCAGAACTAAAATCCCACACACTCCAGTAGTAATTACATTACACACCTCCACATGGAAACTAATCCCGTCTGAACAGGGCTATTTTTATTCAACTGTTTGCCTTAAAACTGCCTTAAAACTGCCTTAAAGGTGCAGCATGTCGCCGCTAGATGGCGCAGCTGAGCTGTTATAATGCCTTATAGCACACTCCATCTCTCTCCTGCAGTGACAGCTATTAATCTCAATTTAATTCCAGGATTGATGATGTCATCGTGCAGTTTCTAACACCTCAGTACCTTCATAATATTTTGATTAGCAGTTAGCTACTTAGCTATGAGCTGAGGTAATTGTCAGACTATTTACAACTATCCGAATAAGTCATTTTAAAAGTAATGGGGACTGCAGCTCATTCTTACCACAGTCATTAAAAATATAAAATTTAGACTACATCATAAATAATAAATATGACAGTGACACAATCTATAAGGCTTTATATATTTAAAAATGTTATATTCATAAACGCATCATACATTTGAACAGTTTTAGCTGAGAGATTATAGTAATGACAAGTGTCTCGAATTGTTATTAAACTGAATTTACTGATAGCTGCAGATACACAGTGTAAAAGAATTTTTTTTTTCATATAATAAACAATAGCATGTTTCAGTAGCCCAGAGTGTTCAAGGAGGAACAAACTATACAGTATATACAGTATGATACCTGCATGTAACAACAACAGAATCATTCAATGGAAATGAAAAACAAAACAAAAAACAAAAACAAAAACAGCTGCTCTAAGGATTGCTGCACAGATGGTGCGCTCGAGTTGTGTTCCTCCGTGAAATCACCTGACTTGTGTTGTGACAGTGTTTGGCAACTGAAAGAGAAACTGCAGCAGTTCTGGGAATCACCTAACCTTAGACTGGTTAATGTCAGTTAACCACACGATGTTCAAACACTACAGCAAAAATACAGAAGGTCACAACAGAAATAAATCTAGTGAAAAATATCTACACCCTCTGGCCAAAACTATGTGGACACCTGATCACACCTGTGTATTCGCAATCCAGAACCATGTGCATTAATATGGAGCTGGTTCCCCTGTGCTGTTATAATGAGCTCTACTCTTCTGGGAAGCTTTCCACTAGATGTTGGAGCGTGGCTGTGGGGATTTGTGTTCATTCAGCTACAAGAGCATTAGTGAGGTCAGGCGATGATGTTGGGATGTCGAGGAGGTCTGGGGTGCAGTCGGTGTTCCAGTTCATCCCAAAGGTGTTCAGTGGGGTTGAGGTCAGGGCTCTGTGCAGGACACTCGAGTTCTTCCACTCCAACCTTCACACACCATGTCTTCATGGAGCTCGCTTTGTGCACAGGGGCGTCGTCATGCTGGAACAGGTCTGGGCCTCTGAGTTCCACTGAAGGGAAACTGTAACGCTGTAATGCGCCAGTTTGGGGAAGAACCACATATAGGTGGGATGGTCAGGGGTGCACATACTTTTGGCCTTATTTTGCACTTGTGCATCTATGTGCTTTTAATATCTAGCACTTTATTATTTCTTGTTAAATATGGAGCATTTAAAGGAACTGCATTTCTAACTTCAGATCTGATAGCATGCATGGCATCGTGCCATCAGGAACACAGACAGAAGAAATGCGTCTGCTGGAAACCACCCGGAATTTACCAAACCACCATAAACACACCACATCGACTTTACTTTCACTTCTGTTACAGGTTTATAAGAAATTCTGTTTAGATTTATATCAGCAATGAATTAAATTTAATAATTAATTTAAAATTATAAAGTAAAACAACAATCATGACGGAATGAAGTTCACAGAAAAATTTTATTGACTTTATTTTAAAGAGTACATGAAGATATCAGAATAAACCAAAGCATCGAAATGGATTAAGACAATAAGATCAGTAAATTAGAAATTTAGAAATTGAAATTTAAAATTAGAGGATAATTACAGTCAGCTGAAACGGTTACAAATTAAAAGAAAGTTTTAAATTAAAAATGAAGAGATATGGAAATATATAGACACATCTACAAACTAAATGATAATGGTTTGAGCTTATATTACGCTGCGGATATAAGCATGATGACCTGTTTAGTGTGTGTTGTAGTATTGTTTTTTAATTTCCTGCCACTGAATAATTGAAAGGGTTAAACACTATAAACACATTTACCCTGTTTTATTTTAAAATAGACCTAAGATTATTTTTGAGAGAGTGAGAAGTGAAAACAGATTTGATTTTGCGGATAAAGACAGAGGTGTGATGTCAGGTCTCTTATCCTCCAACGCATCTCTGGAAGGTGATGAACACGGCCCCGGGCTTCACCCCCAGCTCTCTCAGGGTCTTCTGCCCTGGAACTGGTTTGCCGTTGTAGGCGAGGTTCAGCCTTCCCACCAGCTCAGGCCTCATCTGCAGGTATTTCCTGATCAGCCTGTCAGTGGTGTCTGTGCTCTTTAGGGTAATCGGGATGTGGATGTTCTTAGAAGGATCGAACACCTTCACATCAATCTTCTCAGGCTGAGGAGATCCTGGGGCATCATCACACACTTTTAGAAAGCTGTGAGTGGTGTGACTGAACTGTTCATAAAGTTGGTTCTCAGGGCAGAATACAGGCTCCTCAGCAAGCGTCTGATGGTAGATAAAGTCTGCACACTACAAAAGAAAGAGTTGGGGAAAAAAGTGTGTGAAAACACTGACCATGAACCAGGTATTTAAGGAATAAAACACTATGTGTGGTGCTGCGAAAGGAAAATAATCAACACTGGGGTGGTGTGATGAAGCGAAGTTTCTGTCACCACTCCAAAACGGATTATTTTCTTATAACAGCACGTCCCCAAGTATCTTATTCCTCTTTCACCTTAACAATTTACAATTTATTTAAAGAACAACACATTGTACTTTTTATCCATTTATAGTTACAGGTAATGTGGTTGAACGTCGGAAAACGTAGTTCTCGCTAAGCGTAAACTCCTCCGTCCTGAAGATGTCGGAAAACTTAAAGCTACAGCTTCACCTCTGACTGATACAGAGCGCTGACACTGGAGACTCCTTCCATACATGTTACATAAACATCTCTTTCCAGAGAATTACTAGAAATCATAAAACATCTATTTAACAAATAATTAACCAAAAAACTAAGAATACTATTTCATCACAAGTATATTTTAATGCGGATTTAAATTGAGCTATAGAGCGTTCCTGATCTTCTCTAACAGGGAAAAGGTGCATTTCTAAATTATTCTAGACCAAACTAAGTCTACACTGTTAATTCTACACTTATTGCAGTGTGAATGACTCTTAGTGAAACATTCATATCTTTAGTGTAAGAGAAATATCTCTGTATAAAACTCTTTAGAAAACACGTGCTGATGTAGTAGTATATGACATTTAATCAAGATATTTGAGTTACAGTGCTAACACATTACTACTAATATAAAGAACAAACTAATAACAAGTGTAAAAAATTCACATTACCTCGCGAAAACACACTTTTACATTCATTCTGTTATCAGTCTTCTCAGTCTGATTATGTCTTCTTTGTGTTTGAAAGCTCAGGAAGCTTCTGCCCTCGTGTGATTTGTGCTGTATTTATATAGTAGACACGATGGAAAGTCCCTTAACTCCGTTCCTCCTCTGAGTGTGAAGTCTCAGGCTAGAGAGTAGGAAATGCTCGGCACAAACTCGACATGATAAGAGAACGAAACAGCAATGAGCAGCACTTTGGTCTTATTATTATCCCTGAAAGCACCTTAAATCCGTTTAGGAGGCTTTGGAGCAAAACCTAAAGTCAGTACATAGTTGTGTCTTGAGTGTTTGATTTGAAATCTTTTTAATAATTTTGTTGTTAATAGATTAGAGATGAAGTGATATAAACAGACGTCAGCAAGTGTCAAATTGCAATCTCGCTGTTTTTCTTTTCGACCCAGTACCACGTGATCCCAAGACTAGCACCCAGATACCGGCACTTTTATGTTTTCTTGCATTTGTAAAAATGTCTATGGAGAGAATTTGTAAACATGAATATCAATAATTACTGGATATAATATCCAGGTCCCTGGAGGATTAGTGGTTAGGCCTCAGCTCTCTCCCCACTGAGGCCCAGGTTTGATTCCTGGCCGGGGACCCCGCCCCAGCATGCAACAGTGCGCTCTCGGTGCCGGTCCCAAGCCCCGGATAAAATCGGGAAGGGTTGTTTCAGGAAGGGCATCCGGTGTAAAACCTGTGCCAATCAAACACGCGGCCCAGTGATCCACTGTGGCGACCCCTAACGGGAGCAGCCGAAAGAGGAACAGCAACAGCTGTATATAATCTCCACATTTGATCCTTCAGCATCAGTCTGTACATCTCGAGTTTGCACCACATTATCTACACACCTGAGATCAAAACTATAGAGTTAGATAATTTAGAACTTTTAATGGTTCTTTGGTTGTCCCTCTGGGGGAACCTTTAAAGGTTCTACATACAGCCCCACAGCAGAGTGTTTCCTTATCAGAAAGGGTTCCAAGTGAAGGTCTTTTTGGAGGCTAAGAAACATTAAGTATCTGAGGAACCTTTAAAGAACGGTTTGTTCTAAGCGTGTACACACGCTTCATCTTCAGGACTCCTGGTGTGTCGTTCTCTGGGATCTAAACACACTCACGGTGCAAAATCTCTCCGCTTCAGTGAAGAGATGAGCACAGGAATGTTTGTTTTTTTCGTGTGCCTGCGTGTGAGATTTTCTAATGAAGTGATTCATAAACTGATGGACCCCAGCGGGTGGAAATCACAAGCAGCCACTGTCAAAGTTATATTTATTATTACGTTCCTATAGTTATTGCTTTGTTTGATTTGTCACTTGCCTTTAATCCAAACCTCGAGAACTTAAAAACGAGTTGGTGTATAAACAATGTCAACTTTAATCTTATAATTTTAATTTAAAAAATGTGCTGTGTGTGTGAAACGTTCATAAATAAAACTTCTGTGGCCCAAATAAATATCCAAACTATAATTACACACATTTAAATAATGTTCATGAAATGATTCTGTATCGAACGTGTGTGGAATTGATTTTACAGTCAAACAGGCTTCCAAAAGTTCAAGAACTCGTGTTGTAATGAAGTTAGTTGACTGTAAGAAATGACAGAAAGATAAAACATCTTGAATAAAGCCAAATTGATCTATTATAAGATTACAATACAACAAATATAAAATTGCTAAACCTATTTCTAGACATTTTACTAATTTAAAGCTGGAACCAAGATGAAGCAGTTACTAGCGAGGGATGAATTAATGCATCATATCTCATTTTTCTTGAAGAACACCTCAACTTCATGCAGCAGGATGAACAGCCTCCATCTCTGTTCATTCCAAAGTCCAAACACCTTCTTCTTCTTTAGATGGTATCAGGGTTAGCACCTCATTCTCTTTTTCTCTGCACTTACCTTCGCATTAATTCAGGTTTGTGTTGCTTCCTTATTTGTGTCCTATATTTTATTTTATTTTATTTTATTTATTTATATGGACTTCGGATTGAAATGTTCTTTTTGTGACCTATACCTATCGGCACTGGCACAAAATACTAGCGTTAGTCTCTCTCAGGTCAGGAATCCTTACAGATGATCTCATGCCTCATATATCGCTGTGTCTTCTCAAGTTTTGCACTTTTTATAACTTTGTCTGGATGAAAGTGTAAGTATAAATAACAGACTGTCATTCTGTACCGTGATTAAGGCTAAATAATGGAAAAAACAATAAAACATCCACCACGTCTGTTTATAGAAATTCTTTGATAAATTTATTTAATTTTTAAGAAGTATCTGAGATTAAAAAATACATAATAAAACAGAAAGATCAGTTAATGTGATGACAGTTACAGTCAGAAAATTTATTTCAAATTATAACATTTAAAGCCAGAATGTGATGAACGTACAGAGACTTACAGTAAATGCAAAGTAAATGAAAGTGGTTTAAAATTATATTGCACCAAATGACGAGATCTTTGCATGTTTTGTGTGTATATATATATATATGTATTCATATTATTGAGAGACCTGAGAATAAAGCTTGTGAGAGGAGAGAAAAGAGATCCGATTCATTTTGCGGATAAAGACAGAGGTGTGATGTCAGGTCTCTTATCCTCCAACGCATCTCTGGAAGGTGATGAACACGGCCCCGGGCTTCACCCCCAGCTCTCTCAGGGTCTTCTGCCCTGGAACTGGTTTGCCGTTGTAGGCGAGGTTCAGCTTTCCCACCAGCTCAGGCCTCATCTGCAGGTATTTCCTGATCAGCCTGTCAGTGGTGTCTGTGCTCTTTAGGGTAATCGGGATGTGGATGTTCATAGAAGGATCGAACACCTTCACATCAATCTTCTCAGGCTGAGGAGATCCTGGGGCATCATCACACACTTTTAGAAAGCTGTGAGTGGTGTGACTGAAGTTTGCATGAAGTTTGGGCTGAGGGTTAACCTTTAGAGGATTGGATTTTGGCAAACTACCGCAAAACTACGAGAGAGAGAGAGAGAGAGAGACAGAGAGAGGGGGAGAGAGAGACGGACGGGGGAGAGAGAGAAAGTGAGAGTCAGAGAGAGAGAGACAGACAGAGAGAGAGAGAGAAAGTGAGAGTCAGAGAGAGAGACAGAGAGAGAGGGGGAGAGAGAGACGGACGGGGGAGAGAGAGAAAGTGAGAGTCAGAGAGAGAGAGACAGACAGAGAGAGAAAGTGAGAGTCAGAGAGAGAGACAGACAGAGAAAGGGGGAGAGAGAGACAGAGGGGGAGAGAGAGACAGACAGAGAGAGGGGGAGGGGGAGAGAGCGAGAAAGTGAGAGAGAGAGAGACAGAGACAGAGACAGAGAGAAATGGGAAGAAGGTGTAATTAAAAAGAAATAAGTCTTACACCAGATCTATATGAATAATATTGAAAACCAAAAAGAATTATTTCTTATTATTTCAGCAGGTAAGAAGCCTGTAGCCTTTAATCTGGAATCTAAAAAACAGTTATAAAGCTAAAGAGTCTCCCTGATTTTCTCTAACAGGAAAATGTGCTACAATAGTTTTATATTAACTCATTAATTCAGAGTTAAAACATTAACTGTAAAACCACTGAATACTAAATAACACTAATACTGAAAAAGTGCTGAAATAAACACGTATGACGTACCGGAGCGCAGACTTCAGCAGTCGACATATTCTCTCTTCAGCAGGTCTGTTGATCTCTTCTGTTGATCTGTCTGCTGTCTTTATATCCTTTGGTGGAGTATAAAGGGGAGGGGGGGGAAGTACCAAGGTCAGATCAACTCGGCTCTCCTCCGAGTAGCAAACGGTTCATAAACACATAATTACAGAACACATAAGAACAAAAACCTGTTTTCTGCTGCTGTGATTTGTTTAAAGTGACTTCCTGCATCTGAATAGTGCAAAAGAAAGCATGCAGTTTGAAGGAACACAGCTACTCGCGTTATTATCCCCTGATGAATCTATTAACCAAAGGGGGAAAATAACTGTTTAAAGCTGCAGCGTGCAAGTTTTTTTTTTTTTTTTTTTTTGCCCTTGAATTCCTGTAATAGTAAATCAGTCAGAACTAATCAGAGTTTTCAACAAGCTAACCAGCTAACTTGAGCTAAAAGTTTACAGAATGAGAAATTCCTATAAATCAAACAGAAGTGCTGTGGTTGGAACTGGGTCGCTCTCTCTGATGGAACTGTTATACTTCACATTTATTCGTTTCGCCAAAGTGTCTCGCGAATCAGTCATAAGGATGAGCAGATCAGGGTCTCGCTCATGTCCTGAGATTTGAACTCGCAACCTTCTGGTCACGAGGGAAGAATCTTTACCACATCACTGGTCTCGATGGTGCAGTTGTGGATTAGAATCAACGTTCTGCATGTCATAAACATGTTACATATCATAGTTACACCCCAGCACTGCTGAATCCTGCACTCTGATTGGTCAGAAGGTGTTGATTAGTTTTCTATAACAGCAGCTCTGACAGTAGCGCAGGTTTATATTAATGCGCTCGTTCTAATACGTTATCGTTTCTATAGCAACAGCTCGTTCACAGGGACGAGTACAGCGGACGCTCCACTGACAATAAACAGACTAGAATAATAATCGTTGATATGCTGAAGTTTTCTGTAAGGAGACGTGTTTATGTAACATTTATGGAAGGAGTCTCCAGTGTCAGTGCTCTGTAACAGTCAGAGGTGAAGCTGTAACTTTAGGACGGAGGAGTTTACGCTTCTTTGCGGTTTCTCGGTCACATGACAAGCTGCGATTATTTTTCTTAAGAAAAAAGAAAAGCTCGGTGAGGGAAAGATTACTTATAGCTGCTGTAACGTAAGTGAGAACAGGAACTTGTTTCTGTATTAAATGTAACTGTAAACAGATAAAAAGTATGACATGACAGTCTTTAATAAATAAAAAAGTTTAATCGACTTCAGGGTGATAACAGGAAAGTTCATCACGCCACTCGGTTACTTTTTACTTGCTTATAAATCACGTGACTGCAGATAAAGAAAATGAAACAGTTCTGAAAGAGGAGCTTTTACCGCTTCTGAGAGAAAGTGAAAGAAAAATGTTTTAACAGCATGAGATGAAAACAAGCCACACGGGAAAGCACCAAGTTTTATGCCTCTTTTTTTTTTACATTTGGACACGTCACAAAAACAACCCGCTGATGTCTGCCAGAAAACTACCGAAATCCTGTCTCTCTCTCTCTCTCACACACACACACACACACAGTCAATTTATTTACAATACACCTCCACTGTGTGTGTGTGTGTGTGTGTGTGTGTGTGGTCTTTATACATCACTGTAAAGTGAAATTAATCACAGGAATTAATGTCTTTAGTTCATCTGTTCATCTTTTATTCTCCTTTGGTTGCTCTTTTGACGGTGGGCGGAGTTTTCTGCAGCGCCGACAGCGTATCTCTCTTCTCGATCTTCCGCAGCTGCTTCTTCTTCATGCGCTTCAGTTTGGCCGTGTTGCGAATCTGAAAGAGACAAAAAAAAAAAAGAATCAGGAAGTGGAGAAGAACAAGCGATTAGAGAACATTTTGTTTTCCTTTTGACGTTTTTAAAAAAAACCGCAGCAACTTTCCTTCGTCAGGGCCGAGCGATACGATGACAATATCGACACTGTGATAAATTA